CACTTTTTTTTTTTGCCTTTAAATAATCTCACTTAGGAGTCAAAATTCACTGAGCATTGCTTTTTGATGAAATAATAATAAGTGAGCATATTTGAAAATTGTAAATGACATCTTCTTACTTTTGTAAATTTTTAAGGAGGCAATTTAGGGGAATCATGCATTCGATTTCAATTATATTCTACTTTGTTCATGAATTGCTTACGTTTTAACTTGTAGTATGATTTGGTCCCCAAGGCATGCTAATGCTATGATGCATTCGATTCCAATTATAGTCATTCCACTTTGTTCATAATTTGTTCATCGGATTTGGATACTCTTGATCCGGATTTCGATCTATTTCGTGTACGTGGATTTTCGCATCCTCAATGTATACCAAATATTTAGCTTTTGTCCCGATCAAAGCTTGCTTTAGAACATAAACAAGTACACGAGACTTTTTAAAGGGTAGTTGAGACTACATTTTTGTAGGTTTTTTATTCATCTAAATAGAAACATATACAAAATGGTGGAATCATTAATTCATGCGTACATGAGAAATGGAGAAGTGGAGACTCGAGAGATTGAGTCCTGATTTTAAAGAAACACTACTAAGTCTCTCCAATTATTAACAAGAACGAAAATTATGATAGAAAATAACAACTGAAAATTTTAGGTCTCTTCTTATAGGTTCGGAGTTTCAAATAAATAGGCGTAGGCCCAATAAAAAAGAAAAAGGCTTTTGCATCTGATCGGAGTCCCAACCTTGATCGACATAGACACATCACTCACTAGTCACTACAAAACCAAGGCGTGTCTCCTCCACATTCATACATTTCATTTGGAAGGAAAAAAAGTTTAAGAATTAAGGGGAAAATTGACTAAAATATGCATTTTCTATTTAGTGACAATAACCATCATAAAACCCAATAAGTATATAATGTGCGTAGAGATATCTATAGAGAAATATTAAACAATAAATAAAAATGTGTGTAAGAAAGAAAAAAGGAAAAAATATGTGAAGAGAAAAGAGAGAGAGGATAAGACACTTGTGGAGAGCTTGTGCCAAAAAAATTCCAACGGCTCAGATTCTCCAGACCTCATTATAATCTCTTTGTAACAATTGCCAAACCAAA